GTCATGTACTGAACATAATTCTTTTAACATACGGGGGGGGGTAGTATTGAATTCTAATTATGACATTTACAATATGGTGTAACTAGAGAGGTTTTTCAGAAGAATATTGTTGATTTCGGTCGATCCCGGGGCCTTTCTGCCTTTCAACCTGAACATTATTTCCCTGACTTCTTTGGGGGTAGTGAGGTTGTTAGTTGATTCATATTGGGGTGAACTATTTTGAAATTCAGTCACGATGTTATCAATTCTTTGCTGATGCTTATTATTAATTTGTGAGTATATGGATATGTTGTGAAAGTATTTACCGAAAACAGCGCCTTTTTCGTAATTTGTCGCATATGTTTCTTGTCCTCTCACCAATGTGGGGAATTGCGAATACGATTTTTTAAAGTAATTGACAATTCTCCACACTGAGTTGTCGTTGGAATTAACCGCTTCCAAAAGCCTTTGCCAGTTTTTTTCTTGGATTTGCGTATTGGCCTTATGACTTGCCTATATAGTAGCAACTTATTATCACGACTTACTATATTATTGCGCTTCAATAAGGGGTATAAAGTTCTAATAGCTGCTTTGGCGTTGGTTAACCTATCATCGATGTGCTTTTTGAACGTCAATTCCCTATCCAGATGCTCACCTACATATTTAATTGTATGCTTTGTATCAATCATTTAATCTCCAATTTTAAATTTATTAAGGATTCTACGTGAAGTTACACTCCTTCTTCTTCGTGAGAATCATGCTCTCCGTTTTCGTAGCAATCAATTTCATCTTGTTTGCATCTAAGTAGGGAATTAACATTCGGTTTATGTAGATAGCAAGCCTCCTGTTCGCAATTTCAGCAAGTTCTGATGTTTTCTAATAGTGGTGTGATTATTTGAATGGTAAATCATTCGAATATTCGATTAGTACCATCATTCGAATTAATTCGATTATATCAATATCATTCGAACCATTTGAAATGTCTGAAATTGTAATAAACGAACGAGAGTTACTTCAGGGGACCTATTTTAAAACTATGAGAGTCCTCATTTCTCTCAAGATTTTCATGAGAAATATCATTCGTCAACGTGGAAGTAATATTTTTAAAACCAGTGAGAATAAACTGACTTTCTCTTAATTTATTTCGAGATATGGCCTTCAAAATACTGTTGTCACACTGACAAATGACATTTCTCATGAAAATCTTTAGAGAAATAATTTTTCTCAAGTTTGAAAATAGGTTCTCCCTCAAGTGACTTGTTAAAATATGGAGCAGATTAGGCCGCCAAAATTACTTAATTCTCTTAAGTAAGATACACATGCAACATTTTGCGTCTTCGCTTTTAGCATACTGCGTTCTGATTAGATAGATATCTGGTAAGTGGAGGAACCACCCAAACTTTCCAATCAGTGAGCCGCACGCCGGCGCTGTAAGCCAAATCGGTTGCATTATAACTAAAAATAAATAATGACGTCTGACGATTTGAACTTTGGTGTACTGCGTTCTGATTGGATAGTTAACTGTAAATGTATTAACTTTTGACACATTAATCTTGAACTACCCAATCGATGATGGCATATAATAAATCATTCAAATGATATGATTCGCATTCGCTGTGTGCATTTGGCTTGGAGGGGATAGATTGAGCTATCGCAGCGCCCATGGTGGCAGAAGTCGGCGATTGTTCACATCATCGTAGTAGCGCGGCAGCGTGTTGTGGGTCTCGTGTTGGGTATTAAAATGAGTCGAACTATTTCCGTAAACGCAATTACAAGAAACTGACAGAATTCGCCGAGTTGCATCAAGCTGAAATAATATTAGAAAACATGCGATTATTTTTATTATTGTCAATAATAAATGGATTTCAACACAATTTTTATCTTACATGCAATTCTACAAGATATTCTTTTTTCGTGACAGACGTTTGTCTAATGACCCTAGCTCGGATAAAAAGGCCAACACCTGACTCTCTGTGCTCTTCGACATTTATGACATGCCCAGCTTCTACCAAATCTTTACCTTTTCTTGGCGTTTCAGGCTGAAAGTTTATGTCAGGAGATATTTTCTCAAATCCAGTGTACAAGATGACACTCATGACAAAAATGTAGCATCTAAAAATACAGACAAATTACATTGATTTATGACATTCAAAACGCAGATACTTCGTATGCATAACCTACAAATATTTTTATGTCATTTACTTACTTTTTGTGCGACAGAAACAATTTTTATTAGTCTATCAAAAGAATTTTCAAGTTCAACTGTTGAGTGTGAGGTGTATAACAAGTATGCGGGAATGAATGAGGAGAACTGTCGCTATCCCGTCACCAGAGAGCGCTACCAGTCTTGCACACAGCGAATACTCGATAAAACGATTTTCAATCATCCGAGTATTCGATTATGACGGTCATTCGATTATGCCCATCACTATTTTGTACACACAGGTATCGTCGGCGTACAGTGCCGTCTGTAGACCATTAATACTCATGGGAAGGCTGTGACTGTTTTGGAAGACAAATATTTATTTCATCTAAAAATCGAATTTTGATAAAATAAAACTTATTATTGTATAAAAAATAAAATCATTCTTACAAAAATATATTTCCGAATTGTAATAAAAATTAGTACTTCTATTTACACGCCACTGGATTCAACAACTCATTAGTACAACTTCAATGTTATTGGCAAATCCTTGACCGATGAAAATAATTTCACCGCACCTTTTATAGTGCATCTATAAAAGATCCATTTAGAAACTTGATATCGACTGTAACGATTGAACATTTGTTGACAAGCACATTTTTTGGTTATACTGATTGATACCACACAGTAATGATTGAGATTATAATTTACTATAGTTTAACACTATATAAAGAGCCATCGAGAAAAATCATGATTAGAGTTGATCGTGAAATTTTATTTTTTTGGGTTGTTCCTTTAACCACTTTCACAGTATAACAAAGTTTATTATTTCGAAATGATACTACAACAAGAAAAACAAACAAAGAATTCATTTATTATCGAAATTGTAATCAGAATGCAGAGCTGCTGTAAGTACCCGTAAAATGTACTGAAGTCTCAAGTACAAGTACTTTTGAAAATTGCGAGTAAGTACCAGTACAAATACAATTACATCTATTTGGTATTTAAGTACCTAGTAATTAAATCCTAAAATTTAAGTACATTAGCCTTAAGTACATAAAAACGTACTTATATACTTTATAGAGTAGTTAACTTCTGAAATATACTTCAGTACAATGTAGGATAAATACATTGTTTACTTAAATACATATACAGATGTACTTAAGTATATTTAGGTATACAAAACTCTTAAGTACATTTGCGTTTACTTAAGTATATAAAAATAATAGAGAATATATGCTGGTGTGAAGCTTAAAGGTATAAGTCGGCCCAATTTAAATTAAAATATCATTGCTAACCGGGATTAGTAATATTAGACATTAGTAATAAAGTATTTATTAATAAACAGTTCATATTTTACGTACAATTTAAAAATAAAATAGTAGTACAAGGTAAAATAAATATTCCTTTATTAATAAAATAAAAAAAGAACAGAGTACCACAAAAACTTATAAAATACATCAGTACTACTACTAACAAATCTATTTGGATCTTGAGTCTAAATAATTGCCATTTGCTTTAACAACGACTAGTTTTTCAAAATTATAGTCGCTCAAAGAATGCCTACGTGGCGCAATAACAATTCCAGCAAAATAAAAAAGTCTTTCGACTGGGGCGGAAGATGGCAGGATCGTATTAGCCCTTTTCCTGGGAAGATTTAAAAAAGATCCGCTAGGGGCAGCACCGGTGGGGGGTACATATGTTTCGTATTCTCTATTGACAACAACGTCAAACGTACGTTTTATTATTATTAGAATAAATAAATATTGTGATAAATAAAATTAAAAAACAAATTGTCATGCCTACAAAACATTGTGCGTTTGCAAATTGTACGTCTGACAATCGTTACAAGCAAGATGGTATAAAATTTGTGCCTTTTATAAAACCACAAGTTGACAAAAAAAAGTGTTTGGAGTAGATACATTTATCACGAAGGGCAGATTTAACAGTTCAAAAAATAAAAAAACATGCTTTTATTTGTACAAGACATTTTATTAATTCAAATGGACCAACAATAGAAAACCCAAATCCATTGCCAGCGACAGTTTCAAAGGTTAGTAATTGTTTATTTAAAGAGGTTATATTTTATATCAGTCTACATATTATTATCATTATTGATAGTAAATAATGAAATTAAACTTCTTTTTAATTGTGTATGAAATATAAAAGACAGCAACGACATATTGAAGAGGACTCAAGCACTGGAAAAAATAAATGTTGAATCACTACAAATTAGTAACAAAAATGCTAATAGTAATCAATAATCCCAATTAAATAATGATTTAACCTCTGATCTTGCACTTTTGCAACTTTTAATTTCGCTCCAGGTACATCATTTTCCGTTCATTTCCATTATAAATCTATACGTTTGACGTTGTTAATAAAAAATTCAAAACATATGTACCCCCCACCGATGCTGCCCCTAGCGGATCTTTTTTAAATCTTCCCAGGAAAAAGGCTAATTGTATTTAATAAAAACTAACTTTATATAGCTATAATCGTTTAGCATGTCTAAATTAGTTCTGCTGTCGTTTAGGTATTTTAGAGCTTCTAATTCAGCTAGGGAGTTAGAAGTCATTGTTCTGGTATTTGGTGTCGGTAGTTTACTTAATAAAGATACCGACTCTTGTTCTTCTTCCTCAAAATAAAAAAAAAGATCGTCTGACTGGATATTTTCATTAGTTATTTTATTTTCCTGGCTGATAAGGTATTCGACAGCCGAGACTACCCAGTTTTGTATTTCTTTGTATATGGTAACATTTAAGTCTTTAAAGGCGTTATACCAGCGCATTTTGAATCGTGGACACACTACGGCGCCAATTACGGTAGTTTTGGTTAAAAATTCTTTAAATCTTTGTCCAACAGACTTAATTATGGTCTATAAAGGCACTGATAGCTGTTTTATATCGCCTAATATTTTCAGCTTTTGAAGTTTAGTTTTCATCAAAACTAAGCTAGGAAGCAGATACCCATAATAGGTGTTATGCTCTCCCTGTAAAAAATCTAATGTTTCAGCCAGAGGCTGCATTAATTTGATATATTCCTCTAAAAAGGATATTTCATGTTCCTTAAATACCGGAATCATAAGTTTATCACATAGAACTTCTAACTTATCTTTGACGGAAACAATTTGGACTACAGCGTCATAAGTGGAGTTCCATCTGGTAATTCCTAGAACTTTTAACTTATGTCCAAGTTCTTCTTGTATTATCTCAGCCGATTTCGGCCGTCCGCATTTATTCCACAACTTAGAACATTTGGAAAATATTTGTGTGTTTTGTCGCAAAGGCAATAAACCATTTACCGAATTTTTGTAATGGGTAGTTGCAATGAGATTTATGGTATGTAAGGCACATCTTATGTGTTGTGGCAAATATCTTTCCTGTGTAAAATTAGAACTGTCGAGAGTTGATTCAGGGTCTGATAAAATGATAGGGTTAAACACGACTTCATCTTCTTTTTCTTCAGACTCACTGTCTTCTTCAGTAGAGTGTTTCTTATTATCTATGTTAAACCAAACTCCTTAAAACACTGAACGAAGTAGGAACCATTGTCAGTTACAGTGGCTAATAATTTGGTTGTATCTAAATTGTATTTTTTGTGAATGTACTGCAAAGTCTCCGCAATTCGATCATATGAATGGGTTCCCATGCTAATGCCACTGAGTGTCGCTTGAGGTCTTTATCCAGCCAATGGCATGTCACCCCTCCCAAGTAACATTTTTAGATTTAATAAAGTATACAAGGTAACCATAAAACCCTTTTTTGAGACACTGATAAAACTTTTGAATCCGCAAGATAGCCTTAGGGCTGCTATAAATCTGCTTTAAGAGTAAAAGGGAGAATCCTATAACGGTTCTTAGGAGTATTTTTAAAACAATTTCTTAAGACTAATTAGACTTAAGCCAAAGTCCGTAAAAGTATATTAAGAATTTTATTAAACCATTTTTAAATCTTTTTTAAGATTATGATAATAAGTGGGATAGGCATAAAAACTTTACAAAACTAATCAATTTTAAGAGAATTAAATTTTAAACTGTTTTAGCTTTATTTTGTTTTATCATACTCTCTGACAGAATGATTTTGCAAACATGTTGGGAAGACTGCCATATTAGAAATTAATTATTATATAGTGTATGTTTAATTTGTTTAATTACACTTGTTATTTCTTTAATTTTCAAACACACACCAAAGTACTGTTAAAAGTGGGCAAGGTGGGTCGTAATAAATGATGGGCCTTACAATATATGAAATGTACGTGAAAAAAGATTATTATACGGATTCTAATCTATTTACCGAAAGTTATTTAATAGAAAATAACATTGTAAATATCGAATATATCAAAACACTTTTTAAAACTAAGTTTTCAAACCTACTTAAGATAACAGCTAAAAAATAACACCAAACACACCTTAGGAGTATCTTAAAAGTAAATAGTTCTAAAATTACTTATTAATTAACTCTTACAGGACAGCGATAAAGCATAGTTTACTTTAGGATAAACTAGTTTTCTTAAACAGATTTAAAGGAATCTATAAAACCAAGTAATAAGATCAATTTATCCTGCAGTCCTATTAGCAAAAAAAATAACTGTAATAAAATAATTGTTAATTTTTATGCTTTTACAAAATCCTAATAAAACATAAATAAAACTTTATTCTCTTAAAAATGTTACTTGGACAATAAAGCTTCGACTCTTGAAAGACCATATGTCGGCGGTAGTACATACATAATTTACTTGCGAAACATCTAATTTAATAATTTGGCCCATTTTCTGATACATTTCCTCAATTGCTTTTGTTGCTGCTGAACGGCCCATAACTTTAACGTTCATTCCGTCAAATAAATTTACGAAGTTAGGGTTGGATACAATTGAAATTGGTGATATAGCGTCGATAACAAATTTTATAACTTTATTGTCAAATGACTTTTGCGATGGCTTTTTATTAGGTGACATGGTGACGCGTTGGATCGGTAATAAGACAAGAAAAATCCTGTTGAAACTAGAAAAAAGCGTTAAAATTTTTGAAGTACTGAAGTACATTCTGGGTATTTAAGTACATTGACATACTTAAGAATGTTATAAGTACTTAAGTACTTTTAAAGTACTTAGTTGCCTTCTTTCTTCGCTATTTTAAGTAAAAAAGTACAGTAATTTTACTGTTTAAGTACAAGTACAACGACAAAAACTTAAAAATGTAAGTACAAGTACAGGCATTTTTGCAGGTACTTAAAGTACAGTACTTGAGTAGTTTTTGTACTTAAGTAATTTTTTAAGTACATAAAGTATTCAGTGCTGCAGCTCTGTCAGAATGTACATAAAACTACAGAAATTGTTGAAATTCTTGTCAATTTACGCCTAAACACAAATTAACCCTCCAGCAAAAACGTTGATCTCTTCACACTTTTCTGTTATACAATTTCTCAGTTCTTCCAGATTATGAATTGACGTTCAATTAAATCGCAAAACCTAGGTAGATATGGTATTTCAGTTTTTCTGCTTATAATTCTGTTATCAAAATATTCTCATTGTTTTTCTAGTCGTATGTGCTGTTGCACCATCTTGTTAGAAATGACTATTTTGTATATCCCCATCATCCAGTTGATTTATGAATAGGCCGAGTATTTATTTACGACATTTTGGGGATGTAATGGTAGCTCAGTTGACCACTTCCTTTTATTCTATAAATTAACACATCCAAAAAGAAAAAACCAAGCCTCATCTGAGAAAAAAGCTGTGCAAGATTATTTTGGAGCCATTGACAAAATTCCACTAGTCTTAGATAATCCACTGGAAAAAGCACATGAAATAAAAGCATTGCATTATAGTGTATGTCATTAAAATGAAACTTATTGCGTGAAGATTTCGGTTAAGCATACGTTAACGTACATAAAACATGCTTAAAACGAAACTAGGAATTTAAAAATAAAGTAATTTACAGAGTATTTCGACAAATCTTCACGAAGGTAACGAATCAAGCACAGTCGATAAGTCGTTCTTGAGATATTTGCGAGTTTCTGAACTTGAATTCCACTCAGTATGAACATTTTCAATAATAATCATAGTCGGGTCGATTTTGTTTGCACTAGCAATCAATGGCTGCTCCTGGAGGGAACAATAAGGGCCGTACCACCCCCAAATTATTTTTTTAACCGACTTCAAAAAAGGAGGAGGTTCTCAATTCGTCGGAATATTTTTTGTTATGTATATTCAGCGATAGTTCTTTAACGTCCAATTTCACGGATTATTTTTTATTAGGGGGTAACTGGTCAAAATCAAATAATTAAGTCCATAAAAAAATCCTCAAACTCTTCATTTTTTAAGTATGTTCAGCGATAATTTTTAACCACCTAATTTGATTTCTATGATTCTTTTTTTGTTAGTAAGGGGGGTACCTCAGTTTGTTCCATATAAATTTGTTCCAGATGTGGTGATGACATCTGCACGTTTTTGAACTCGATTTTTTAAAATTACTTTTAATACTTGTTTATAATCCGGGAGCAAAAATGCTAAAAAGGGAATTGTTAAATAAAAATGTATTTGAGTACGCCACTGCGGTTGGTCAGACTGAAGCTTCACTGAATCATTAAAAAACGTTTAATTTGATAGATGTTTAATTCAAACCAACGACAGAGTCTGTTTTCTAGAGGTCTTATACGGATCTCTGAAAAGAGGTCAAGTTCAAGACGCGGTGAAATACAAGAACCAAATCAATACTGAGAAAATGAAAGTCTCGCCGGTATGCGGTTCAAGAATAATTGAACGCAATTTTAACAGTCGAAATTCTTTATATACTTTTATTCGCCAAAAAACATTTAATCTGTGCCAAAAATGAAAAACAAAAAGGGGTAGGTTTAATAAATATTTGACTGCTTTCACAGTTTTGTATGAATTACATTTGCCCTCTTCCAAAAATAACATTTATAGTATTTTTTTGTACCCCAATAGAATAGTCCCACGCCTCTTTAGCATTGACATAATAGGCCGTATTCATAAAAAAGAGAATTTGCTTTTACTTGCAGAAATCGAAGCATTTACTTCACATTCTATTCATAAAAATAAGAAGGAAAAGATTTTGATCCTAAGGAGAAGGTTTTACTTTTTTGGTATTTATAAACAGAAGTATTTGCTTTAAAATTAAAGGATTTGCTTCAGAAAATATGCATCTAGTCGAGAGGAGTTCGGTAATAAATGATTATTTACTTCAGTCGTTTATATATTCTTGTAGGGCGAAGGTGTTTAATTGTGAAGTGAATTATTTATTGAATTCAAAGTTTTCATGGCGAATGTAGTACAAGCACGCGCACGAAAACTTTACAAAGAAAGACGTACTACATGTGAGTGCGACTCTTGAAGCCTTTTTCGGTTTGACGAAAATAATGTGCAATGGTTAGCACAGTACTTTATCGGCGAGAATTTGTAAACCAGAGGAGGTATGCTTTCACCAGTACAAAAAATGAAAACATTTTTACGGTACATGGCAGATCCGGGCTTCCAGAGCGGTATTGGTGAGAAAATGGGATGTACACAGCCTGCAATTTCCAGAATGGTCGGTACCACACTTGGTCTCATTGCGGGCAAAGCGGATGAATGGATTAAGTTCTCATCGACCGAAAACGAAATTATAGAAGCCAAAGTAAAATGGGCAAAAATTTCCCAACTGCAATAGAAGCTATCGACTGCACGCATGTTGAAATTGAAAAGCCTCGTCTATTTGAGGATGAATATATAAATCGAAAAAATTATGCTAGTAATAATGTTCAGGACATATGTAACCATAATTACGTTTTTATTAATATCAATGCACGGTGGCCCGACTCCATATATGACAGTCGAATTTGAAAAAACTCTTCTGCTCATGAAATGATGCGGCGGACGACAAAAACTGTATTATTGGGGGAGAGTGGCTATGATATAATGCCCTATCTGATGACACCTTTCTCTGACGTAGAAAATGCAGCACAGGCTGCCTTTATTATATTATTAAAAAGAGATAGAGAGATTATAGAACAAGCTTTTGGACAGTTAAAAGGGCGGTTTCCTATTTTTAAATATGTCTATCGAGTGAAAATAGAGAATATTCCGAAGGTGATGAAAAACATTTGCAAAAATACAGAAGAAAACAAATAATTTTGGTTTTATTTTCGAACATGTAGTTTCATTTAATTTTAAGAAGTTTATTTTCTAAAATAAAACTTAGTTGTATTATTACAAGATTTCATATGTTTTTCTACTCTCGTGGAAAATGCTGGAGCATGTGGGTCTCGCTCCTTCGGTTTGGCAATAAAGTACTGTTGCTGAAGACGAACAACCTTGAGCTGTTCTAACAGCACTGAAGTTGCCTGTTAGATAATTTTCTGGTTTCCTCGGTTTCATGTGCGATGGCTCCTTCTTCAGTTGTTGCTGACTTTCGTTTGCCAGTTTTTGCCGCTGGTTGTATTGAAAGTTGGGCTGTGACATGACAATCAAACTGCAATGGTCCTCCTACTTCTAGGCGGCCTGCAAAAATATCGTGATTGGATACCATAAAATATCTACAGACTTCTGTACTTTTATTGGCTTACCGCAACGGTGGGGTTAACATCCGCATTCATCGCTTCCATCATTATAGTTTCCCATGATTGTGTAATTCTCTTGTTACCCGTTTTGTTCTTGTTGGTTTTCTTCTTCAGTTTTTTCTTCATATTACCCACCTTTTTCATTAATGTTTTCAAGGTTATGTCTCTTCCATACAGCTGTCTGTACTCTGTGACAACTTTTTCCATAGCCGTTTGCTTTTTCGCTTTTTTTCCAATATTTCTGGGTATGTTTTTAATCTTTCGGCAATAAACATACATTCAGATTGCTCACAGCGGCTATCTTGTGACTCCAATTGGTCGTCTAACACTTCCTCGTCACTTGTCATCTTCAGTTACAAATATTGAACAAAGCTCAATCAAATGTAAAATAAAACCTCCGAATAAAACTTTCTATATTTATATTTACCAGCACACACTCTCACATGCCCCGGTATACTACTATAATAACATTAAGAGCAAACATGACGGGCGTTCCTCCGCCAAAAATCAATTTTACATTTGAGGCAGTTAAAAAAAATTGTAAAAAAAAACGGTTCAGGCCAATCGTTCTAAAAATGAACCAAGAATGACGCTAAATCGCGAAAAACTTATATTTTTAAAGAGAAACAACAAAAAATTCAACTTTTTAACAAATTTAATTTTTTGGCTCTTTAGCGTCATTCTATAATAAATATCTTAACTATTTTCTAAATAACTTTTTTTAAAAAGATTACCAATTTTAAACAGGACCAAAGATTAACATAGTTTTCATTCCGATACTAATTTTATTAAAACAATGACACCAGTGAATATGGCAACGCTGCTAGTCTATGAAGCCCGTGGTTAAAAGGGTGGCTGCTGTTTAGTCAAATTTGTTAATTCCTGTGTCGAAAAATAGGTAGTTGTTTTTGAAGAGGTGCGAAATTATTGTGATCGTCTTAGTTTGTTGTTGAGGCGTTGTTAGGTTTTTGTTTAATTTAGTTTTTAGTTAATTTATGAAATGAAAAATTCTGGAAGGCAAAAATGCACAGCTGACAAATTTCTATTTTATTTGTTTGCTTCCAGAGTTAGTAAATCCTAGAGAAATACGACATGTGCCAATTCGGGAAAAGAGATTGTCAAGAATTTTGCCCGTTTAAAAAAATGTGTAATATACAGGGTGTTTCTAAATACATGCGACAAAATTCAGGAAGTGATTGCTCGTATGAAATTAAGATGGGTCTTTCCTATAACAAAATTTCCTCAGCTCACCCTTTTCCGAGATATCACCCTACAAAGGTGGTGACTATAATTGAGTTTTTATTTTTTTTCTAACATTTCAGTAAAGCTAGAAACTTGAAATTCTGTAATCGCAAAGGACTAACCACGGGTTTTTTTTCAATATTCCTGTTACATTATAGGGGGGTGAAATTAGCAACACTTACATTATTTCATATCAAAACTTTTTTTCGAGATGAACTTTTATGAAATAAAATTATAACTTGAAATCCTTGTTTTATTTTTTTTTTCTTGAAAAAAATAATCACCCTAATTTATCATTTTTTTTAATATATTGAGTGGAAAACAGTATTTTTTTTTCTATGAAGCTATTGGTTTTGGGAAAAAAATTTAAAAATAATTTTTTTTTTTAAATAAGACAAGGATTTCAAGTTACAAAATTATTTCATAAAACTTCATCTCGAAAAAAAGTTTTTATAATTTTCGGACAAGGATTTTTCAAAAAGTAATTTTGTTAAAAAATTAAAATTTTGGCAAAATAAATTAGGTAATATTAACTGGATATGCCTATATTTTAAAGTTTCCGAGAAAAAAAAATCAAATATGATAATGAAAATAAATGCATTCCTCAACAGCACTATTCTTAATATAATCCCGAAATTTAAACTCTTAATTCTTGCTAATGATTTTTTAAAATTCGCCAAAATTAGTGGCTAAAACTCCTCGTTAAGTGCTTCTGGTGTAACGCGTTTGTAACTATCGTATCGTACACTCTGTCATTATTCGTTTCTTGCAACAATTTACACCAGTTTACACCAGAAGATAGCACTTAACGAGGCGTTTTAGCCACTAATTTTTGCGAATTTTAAGAAATCATTAAGGAGCTTAAATTTGGGGATTATATTAAGAATAGTGCTGTCGAGGAATGCATTTATTTTCATTATGATATTTCAAAATTAAAGTCATTTTAGTTTTTTTCGAAAACTGGAAGGAATTAAAACATTAAAATATATGCATATTTGCATATTCTAGATATTATTGCCTAATTTATTTTGCCAAAATTTAAATATTTTGAGATATTCTTGTCCAAAAATTATAAGGGGTGTGATCACCTTAAGATTGAAAGAGAATTAGCTTTAATTCATGAGATACAAAGCATCATAATTGTCGCGTCACAAAAACCACCTGCTGCCAAGAGAAAATTTTGATTCAACAGTATTGTATATTTTGTGTTGTAAAAGAGAAAAAATTAACATTTCGTGTTTTAATAGTTATTTTTTTAATTTAATAATCAATGTGAAAAAAAAATTTTATACAGACAATAAAAAATTGTTATATTAATATACTTATTTAAGTGTACTTATATTTGTTGTTCAATTTACAATTTACAATTTACCTATCTTCAATTCATCACTTTCCGTATCCATATACCTAGGGTCCAATTACAATTAGAGGAACACCGCTGTCATAACTATTATTTCGAATTTCCAATATACAGGGTGTCCCGAAATTAGCCGGTCCTATTTTAACAGTGTAATACATCCTACAAGTATTAGAAATTAAAAATTTAAAAAAACCGAATTCAAAAACGTGCAGATGCCGTCACCACATCTTAACCAAATTTATATGGGACCACCCCTAAAGTACCCCCTTACTAACAAAAAAAGAATCATTGAAATCGGATACCGTGTTAAAGAATTATCGCTGAACATACATAAAAAAAAATTAAAAAAATATTACGACGAATTGAGAACCTCCTCCTTTTTTGAAGTCGGTTAAAAATAGGAGTAAAAGTTTATATAAACATAGGTCCGAAAACGTTTCGTTTTCGAAATACAGGGTGTTACAAGTGAAGTCCAGATGGCACATTTTTGTAAATATTTTCTAAAATTTCTTTATTTACCGGTTTTCCAAAGTTAAAAAAAAAATAAAATTTCTGATTCTACAGACCTACTAATTATTGTTTACACTTTCGAATAAGGTAACATGCTTTTCTCTTGAAAATGGCGCGTCCTAACGAGATGCAACAAATGCAGCTTTATTATACAGAAAATATTGGTTTTCCAAATTTTATAGTCAAAAATGTTAAAAACTATCAACAAAAAAAACTTAGAGCAATTTTTACCCTAAGCTCCCCCTAATTTACCCACCTAAGAAGATGATCAAAAACTGGGGTTTGGTCCAATAAATGGAGCGTTAAAAGGTAAGTATTTGTACCAAATTTTACCTAATTATCTTTAAACGTTTAGAAAATATTTACAAAAGTGTGGTATCAGGACTTCACCTTTAACACCCTGTATCTCGGAAAAGAAACGTTTTCGGACCTATATTTATATGAACTTTTACTACTATTTTAGGATTTAGATTACGCTGTTAAAATATGACCGTCTAATTTCGGGACACCCTGTATATCATCTATAACTATCAATAAATAAAAAATATTTGAGTTTTTTGGTTTAAAAATAGTATTCCTACAGTTCGTCAAATTTCTAGAGGTGTTCGACGCCCAGACAGAGAACGCGCTACGTGTGACTAAGATAGCTATTGTACAGTCTGCTAAACAAGTTATTTTAAATAGTTTTTAATATTTTTAGGTAATTAAATTTTAAAAGTGTGGAATAGTTTAGGGATTAAATTGGTCTGATTGGACTTTCTTAGAACGTTTTTAAAAGCAGCTAAAGATAGTATGTAGAATTGAAAATAATTATTATGCCATAAAAGGTGTTTTGGAATTCCTTCAACCTTTTGAAATTGAGTCAGAAAATATAAATTTTATAGGATAGCGGACAATACCTATAATTTTTTTGTAGGCCTTTGTAAATCGTGGAAATAGTTTATATTTTATATTATTATTAATAACGGTTGTTTCTGAAACATTACTAAAATTTTCGAAATTTTGTTTTTCTACAAAATAAACTATACTATTTAGAAAAAAATTTATTTCTCTTATAATTTTATAAAAAATAACAGGGGAATATTTACATTTCTTGATCTATTAAACAAAACGATAAATTATCTCGACGAATGACACCATGTTCTAGTACGGAAGCTAGCTTTACATTTTTGTTGGTGGTTTCATGGGTTTCATATCAATTTTTTGTAATTGTAGTTTACACGTACATATACCTCTTACCACTTGTTTGCTTTATTAAAAAAGTGTGTTGTTGTGATTTACGTCGAAATAAGTCAAAAACAACTTGAAACCCCATATAAAATCAAAAAGGAGAAACGGAAAAAAATTGAGCCTGTAAATGAACACAACTCAGAAACAAAAATAGCTATCTAATAATAAAAAATAAAATTTGATTCTTGTGCAGCTTCATCTATATCATTAACTGTTTTTGGTTTTTTAATGGTTTTTCTTGGTGATGAAAATTCCGATATCTCACGGTTATCGATTCTTTTTTTCTCTCCAGAAATGCGGACGACAGTGTTTTTAGATACTCCTGTGGTTGCAGCAACACGATCATTTACATTTTTAAATGGTATTGAAGGTGAATTAAAGTTTCCTTCTCTTCTCATAAACTCTATAACATTGGCTATTATTTCGCGAGATTGACTGTTAATCACGCGGCCTCTTAATTTGCTATTAAACTCCATACTTAGGGTTTATTAAACTGTAATGAGCAAAAAACACAAACGAAAATAAAAGAAATGTTTTAGCGAAATTTACATCTGACATTTACGTCTGAATGAAATAGTGAAATACTTGATGCGCAGAGTGTACTTTCATTGCGTAAATCCGTCGGGATGCCTGTCAGTAGTGCTTTCTCTGTCTAGCCGTCGAAAGCCTCTAGAAATTTGATGAACTGTACATTCCTATAATATTAACAAGCCACTAAACCCCCAGTAGGCGGCGATAGCCAACGAATTATTTCGCCAATTGATGATATATATACCTGTGTTCATGTAATTGTTATCAGACCTTACCCAATCCTATGAATATTCTTCAGCGCACGACAAACGACATTGCCAAATTTATGTAGCGA